CGGGGCGGGGCCTGGGGCCGGGGCGGGGCCGGGGCGGGGCCGGGGCCGGATGGAGTAGGAGCGCGGCTGTGGGGCCGGGCTCTACCTGGAACTCTGGGATTCTTGCGGTTGGGTCCTACCCGCTGTGGCCGCCTTGCTGGCTCCTTTCCGAGTCCCAGGCCTGCACCCTGCGTCCCGCACTGTCCGCCGAAGTGTCGGCTTGGGCCGTGGGGGCTGAAGATCCTAGAGGCAGAGGCCCGGCCTGGCTAATTTGGTTCAGGGAGTTCCTAAATCTGGGATGTGCTGAAGCTGCCAAGGACCCTCTATGCCTCCATGGTCTTAAAACACCACTTTCCCTTTTCTCTCGCCCTTTCATCCGAGTCTATCCCAAATCAAGAGGCCTGATCCTTTAATTGCCCCATCCTCTCTAGCGGTCATCGAGACCAAACTAGACCTTTTAACCTTCCTGTCTTCACCACATCTTCACAGTTTGTAAAGGTGGCGTTCTTAGCCCTGTTTCATTGCCAGGACTGGAGATCAAGTCGGCTTCTTCCCCTGGCTCCAGCCGTGCTCCTGAGGACGGCTGACTGCCACGGCCCGGATGTTCTGTAGCAGTGCCCTGGGGCTTGTTCTTGGAGGGTTGGCCTCGCCCAGACCCGCAGTTGTTGGGAAAATGCTCTGTCCTGTGCCCATGGCATGTTGGTTCACCGTGTCAGACCGGGGACTAGCAGGGGAAGCTCTGAGCTCTCACTCTTGCACATGTTGGTGTTACAAACACACCCATCACAGCTGGTTCCAAGCTACCACGAATTTAACAGCTGGTTCACAAAAATTCCTGAAAACTTAGCCACCTGTCATGGTGTGATCCGCTCCCGAGTACTGCTTGCCTATGGCTGGCCCTGTACAGCAGGGTTTGATGTAACACGTAAATTATACGGTGTGCTGGAAGGTGATCCGTTCTACGAGAAGAGAAGATACAGGGCAGGCAGGGATGGATTCAGGTTTGTAGAACCAGAAGCTCATGCAACTTAAGGGGCTCACTTTGAGAAAAATAATTAAAAATGACAACTATGAAGTTGAGGTCAGGGCCTTGGTCGTTAGGGACTTAGGTTGAAGTTAAATCTACCAAGAAGAGGGTGGTGAGGGGAGTCATGGGGGGTGGTAGCTGGCTGGCTCTGTGGGAGAGGCCCATCCTGGCAGAGGGAAGGGCCACTGCTTGGGCGCTGAGGTGGGGAGGCTGGAGGTGGCTGAGCAGGGGGAGGATGGGGACAGAGAGGGGATTGGGGCCTGGCTAGGCCGAGCCTGGCAGGGCCCCCAAAGGACTTCGGCTTTTCGTGTGAGTGACTCTGGCTTTTCCCATGGCCCAAGCTGTGGCTGCCACTTCACAAGGCTCACCCTGCCCTCTCTGTTGAGGATGGACAGCGGGGTGGGGTGGGAGTGGCCGAGGGAGATTAAGACAAGAGGTTACTGCAGTGATCCAGGAAAGAGATGATGGAGGCTCAGGGCAGGGTGCTGAGTGTGCAGCTTGAGGTGCGGGCTGGACAGGTCCTCAGTCCCCCGGAGGAGGAGCAGGGGTGGGCTGAGGGATGGGTGAGAGGTGGGAGATGGACAGCAGCAGTGGGGGCCCCTCTGAGAGGCTGAAAGCAGATGAGCAGGGGGAGGGGCAGTCGGTAGCAGGAGCGCAGGCGGATTCTAAGGCGGATTCTAAAGGTGCAGCCTGGGGGAGGCCGGGCACCGCCTTGGGCCCTGTCTGTGCCTCCATTTCCCCTTGCTGCAGCAAAGTGTCCCCACCTGCGGGGCTGGTTATGATGACAGCAACGTTGGTATTGGGCGGGAAGACTGGCGGGAGCGCAGACCAGAGAGCAAAGGATGGCTGTGCTGGGCGGGGCGGTCCAGGGCAGGAGCTGCTCCCCTTCGGCACGCAGGCAGCATGAGACGTGGTCACCTGCTAGGTGTGAAAGGTGAGGAGTCGGGTTTGGGAAGACTTCAGGCAAGAGATGACTGCCAGCCTCAGCCAGGAGCAGGCTCCGGGGAAAGTGACAGAATTTTGAGGTTCCTGAGTGGGGGGCCGGGACTCAAGACCCCTGGTGGATTTAGTAGGGAGGGTGATTGGCCATTTTGAGGTTCCCAGGGAGAGGCCAGTGGGAGTAGAGGACCACGAGGGGCCTCTCTCCACACCCTCGCAGCCTGTGAGCTGGGGCTGGTAGGCTGCACTGAGGGGTCAGGCCTGGCCAGCACCTCCTGGTCAGCTAGGGGCTCTTTGCAGGCTCAGGGGCTGGGGCTGGGGTGGAAGATTCTGCAGGAGGGGCCTGCCCGAAGGAAGGAAAGCATTGAAGAAGTGGTCCCCTAGCCCCAGCTCTGCAGGCCCCACAGTATCACTTTGGTTTTCCTGTCCCAGGCCTTCTGGCTGCAGAGCAGGCTCAGGGGTCCTGGCTGAAGGTAGGGGCTGGGGCAGCTCAGGGCCCGCAGAGTGTAAGTTCTGGATGTGTCCCTCCCCCACCGTGATGGGGGGATCGTGGTGCCACTCCCCTCCCCACCCATATAGGCCTCAGGGTTGCCATGGCCGAGGTGGCGGTGGGGGGGCCGCAGTGGTGCTCAGTGGGCTGCCCCCTGCCCTCCCGAGGGGCTGCTCATGCCCTGCTTCGAGGACCGCCGTCGCTCTGGGGGAGGACCAGTGTTGAGCTGGCAGAGCTTGGCGGAGGGGGCACACTCACTTTTCAGAAGTCTGCAGGTGAGGGGGCTGGTGGAAGGGGCGGCCTGAGGGCCCTCTGCTGGCTGTGGGCCCCGACGCCCCACTCCACCCCTGCCCACAGGTGCAGGGAGGGTCTCGGCCTAGGAGGGGCACATGCTCTCCGGCGCTGGCTGAGCCTTAGGCCAGCCCCACCATGTGCCCCTGCAAGCCTGCTGCTCCCAGGACCGCCCCCAACACCGCCCCCCCAGCAGCTAGAGCAGCACAGCCAGACCCTGCTGCGAGCCACGGGGCACCCAGCGCAGCCCCGCTGTGCCCTTGACAGTCCCTGCCCAGACTGGGTCCTGGCCCAGCTGCCCCAGCCCCTTTCTGAGGCAGGTAAGATGCAGGATTGGGGCAGACGTGCCTGTTGGGGGGACGCTCGGAGCCGACCTGCACCCTCCCCGACAGAAGCCTGAGTCCTGGAGGAACAGGCCTGGGCCCTGGGCCTGGAGGGGACTGAGGTGTCCCAGGACCAAGCTGTGCATGTGGTGGGGGGTATCCCCCCTGAGTGCCTGCTGCTGCAGGACCTGTACCTGGAGACTGAGCCCCGCGGTGGCAGGGGACCCCTGGGGGGCCTTTGCAGCCTGCCTGGGCACCTGGGCACAGTTGCATCCTTCCAGGAGTGGCAGGGTGAGGGGAGTGAGATAGACTTGGTGGCCTACCCCTCCCTACCCCTCAGAGCCCTGACGGACCTTCTGTCCTTTCCTTTCCTCCAAGTGGCCGAGTGAGTCCTACAGCAGGAGTCCCAGGGGCAGTGCTCAGAGCTGAGCCTGGTCCCCCACTATGACGTCCTGGAGCCTGAGCAGCTTGCCAAGAACACCGGTGGGGGGGACTACCTGGTCAAGTTGGGGCCAGGGACCACCGAGCATGCTCTTCTGGAGGCTGGAGGGCCAGTGAGGGCATTGAAGGGTGCAGGGCTGGTGACACTGAGGAGGTCTGAAGAGGAACCAGGGCAGACAGGAGCCTCCCTGGGGACGGGTCCCCTTGGGTCTCTTGGACAGGCTGAGCCAGTCAGCTTGGGGCTCATGGGGTCACTGGGACAGGGGGCTGGTGAGCCGGAGCCCATGGGGTCTCCAGGCCCAGTGGGCCCAGGGAGATGGCCACAGGGTCTGGAACAGGTCCCCCCCACACCCTGCAGCCCCCAGACCGCACAGGCAGTGCCCAGGAGAAGGTGAGACTCCCTGGGGACCCCAGCACATCCTGTGGCCCTTTCTTGACCTCGCCTTCTACCCTGCCCTACACTTGCACCTGTTTTGTGGCCCTGTACCCTTCGCCTTCTCTCCATCTTTTGCCTGACTTATCCTGTACCCTGGCTGGGCTTGGCCCCTGACCCCGCATCTCTCCCAGCCCCCAGAGGAGGTCTGAGCGCTGCGGGCCACCCCGGAGGGCCTGGGTGGGAGGGCTGGCTGGCTATCTCCAGAGCTGGGGGCCAGGCAGAGGACTCTGAGGAGCAGCCAGAGCGGGAGTCGGTCTCCAGGGCTGGGAGGGGGCCCAGGTGGCCGCAGGAGGAGCTGCCACGCTGCGGTGAGCCCTGCAGGAGGCAGAAGACGAGCTCGTGGGCGGGGGAGCGGGTGGCCTGGCTGGTGGTGCGCGTGGCCTTCGGGCAGGATGTGGCCGAGCCAGACCAGGCACTGGGGACTGCCTTGGAGGTGCACGTCCAGGAGGCGATGATAGGGTCCTGGGGCGGCATGTGGCCTGCAGAGCTGGGAGCCCGTCTGAGCCATGCCGTGGTGTGCGTACTGCCCCTTGGGGTGACAGCGCCGTTCTCCAGGACTCTGGGGCCCAGCCACCTAGCAGTGCCACCGGCTGGCCCCCCGCATCAGGGTTTGGCCTTTCTCTTGGCAACTTCAGGCCCCACCTGTGAGCCTGTATCCCGGCTTGGGGAGGGTGGGGTGGGCCAATGCCCTAGGCATGGCCCGGACCCCCTTTGTCTGCAGGTGCCTCAGCAGAGGCTGAAGGGTCCCGGGATGGGCTGGGGTCTGGCTGAGAGTGGCAGGAGTCCCGGATGGTGCTGCGGGTCTGCTCTGACACCTGGCGGCTGCTCACGGCGGGATCCGCATCGTCCAGGTGAGTCCACACTCTTGCTCAGACAGGGCTCATGGCACAGAGCCTGCGGGCTGTCACTCTAGCCTATGTCAGGGTTAGGGGACGAGGCCCCAGGGGCTCGCTAGCTCTGGTCCCTGCTCTGGAGGGGGGAAACAGAAGGGCCCGACGATCTGACAGGCCCGAGCAGGGGTCCCCGTTTTGCTAATTACAGCCCGGTGAGGGTGGAGGGTGGGACTGCAGACCCGGCTCCTTGTCTGAAGCATGGGGTTGGGGCGCCATCTCGTGGCCACTTTGAGGATTACTCATCCCGCAGGTAAGGTATCTGGCGCGGTCCTGGGGATCCCCCCGCCGCAGCTGCCCCAGCCCGGAGAGGGCTTGCTGCACTGTTTTTATTTGCTAAATGTTGCAACTCTGAGCATGGGTGTGTTTCATTTTTTTTAAACATTTTTTTGAGATTTTATTTATTTATTTGACAGAGAGAGGGAGAGTGCAAGTAGGCAGAGTGGCAGGCAGAGGGAGAGGGAGAAGCAGGCTCCCTACCGAGCAGGGAGCCTGATGAGGGGCTCGATCCCAGGACCCCGGGATCATGACCCGAGCCGAAGGCAGACGCATAACGACTGAGCCCCCCTGGCGCCCCTATGCATGTTTCAGACAAACACTGGAGCCACGGTGGGGGTGGGGGGGTGAGGGGTCAGAGTGAGCCCCCGCCTATCAGGCAGGGGGAGGGAGAGGCTGCTGAGGGCCTCAGGAGGCGATGGGGGCGTGGGGGGTGCGTTGCACGGGCAGAAGGAGAGGCTGAGGAGGAGGCTCTGCTGGCGAGTGTGTGTGAGGGCGGTGCCTGGAGCTGACGCCGAGCCTGTCGAAGAGTGACCGCCAGGTGAGGACGGGGACCAGAGCAAATGAGCTGGTCAAGTGAGGAAGGAGGGCAGGTTGAGTGCTTGCCGTGTAGACAGGCAGGAGGAAGGAGCCGTGCAGAGCCCAGGCCAGCCAGGCACTCCTGACTCTGGATGCACAAAACTGGGGGTGGGCCGGGCAGCGGCAGTGACCCCGGCGGGCAGCAGCGCAACTTCCGGCCCTCCCCAGGCTGCGCACACCGCTCTTTTCCTGCAGGTGGTCGCTCCAACTTTAGAGGGGGTCCCTTTCCTCCGGGTTTGGACTCAGCAGCTCTCACTTCTGCTCTTCGGAAACAGGCGTCGCCCGCACTCCCCTGGCGGGTTTTGTCAGCTACACGCTCTGGATTCCCCCAGTCGGCGCCTGCGCGAGTTCAGATGGCACACGTGAACTTGCTTTTCATTAACAGCTTCGGAGACGGTCTCTCGACTTGCTCTATGGAGGATGAGGAGAACAGGCTCCCCTTCTCCTCTCCCTTACAGTTTGGTCGGTTGCATTATTTTCATATGTCATCAAGGTTGACAGGTGTCATTTTCTATTCCGTGATTACCCTGAGGCTCCGCGCTTGGGCCGTACTTTGGTGGATATATAATGATAATGGAAAAGCATTTACCATTGAACCAAAGAGGAAACAAGGAAATGAAATCCTAGTTATTAAAACTGTGTTCCATGATGGGGCGCCTGGGTGGCTCAGTCGTTAAGCATCTGCCTTCGGTTCAGGTCATGATCCCAGGGTCCTGGGATCGAGCCCCGCATCGGGCTCCCTGCTCGGCAGGAAGCCTGCTTCTCCCTCTCCCACTCCCCCTGCTTGTATTCCCTGTCTCGCTGTGTCTCTGTCAAATAAATAAATGGAATCTTTAAAACAACAACAACAACAACAACAAAAACCTGTGTTTCACGAAAGAGAATTATGTGAGGGTTCAAAGACCAATGGTTCTTTTTTTTCTTTTTCTTTACATAGGCTCCACGCCCAGTGTGGGGCTTGAACCTTGAACTCATGACCCTGAGATCAGGAGTCACAGGGTCTACTGACCGAGCCAGCCAGGCGCCACAGGACCAGTGGCTCTTAATATTGATTGACTGATTGATTTGACAGAGAGAGACACAGCGAGAGAGGGAACACAAGCAGGGGGAGTGGGAGAGGGAGAAGCAGGCTTCCCGCGGAGCAGGGAGCCTGATGCGATGCGGAGCCCGATCCCAGGACCTGGGATCATGACCTGAGCCGAAGGCAGACGCTTAACGACTGAGCCACTCAGGCGCCCCTTAATTTTTTTTTTTTACTTTCATTTTTTTTCCCCTGTGTTGGTACTCTTTATGCTCCCTTGTCCCCTTCCTGCACAGATTCTTTGTCTGTTTAGTAATCTCCTTGAGTGGCTAGTCAATATCTTGGACTTTCACATTTATTTTGCCTTTTACCATTAGAGGTAATCTACAACTGTAACTGGTGTAAACTTGTTTTTCAAATGAAAGTTGCTGTGTGTTTGAGACATTTCTTTTAAGTTAAATAAGCACAGTGAGATCTTGCATATCTTTTTTTTTTTTTTAAAGATTTGATTTATTTATTTGAGAGAGAGAGCACAAGAGGGGGGAGGGGGAGAGGGAGAAGCAGACTCCCTGCCGAGCAGGGAGCCCGATGCGGGACTCGATCCCGGGACTCCAGGATCATGACCTGAGCCAAAGGCAGTCGCTTAACCAACTGAGCCACCCAGGCGCCCAAGATCTTGCATATCTTAATATGTCCTTATTTTGTCCTCATTAATAGTTTAGGTGGATATAGTGTTCAGGATCAAACTATGTTTTCCTTCCTATCTCTGAAAGACATTACCCTTTCTCTTTCCTCTTAAAAAACTTTGTTTTTGGAAAGTTAAAAAAAAAAAATCCATCTATGGTCTCTTAGCATCCAGTAGTATTGGCGGTGAGCATGTGGAGTTTTTCTAGGATTTTTTTCCCATTTGCATATTGACTTAGGAGTGTGTGCCTGTGTATGTGTGTCTGGATACTTCCGGAGTTTCCTTTCGCTTTGAAAGTGGGAGTTTCCCTGGCAGGGAGGTGCCGAGGATGTATGTTTTGCCATTGTCCTTCTGGGCCTTTTATGGATCCTTTCCACCAGCAGACGCCCCGCTCAGGGCAGGGAAACCGCTCCCTCACTGGCTGGGCTGGCCACCTGTGCGCCACCTTCCCGAGGAGGTCCTGCGGGCAGACCGGACACCCCTGCGCCTCCACCCTCCCCATGGGGCCCTCCCAGTCCCCATCTCCTTCCTTTAGCTCTGCACTGGGGGGCAGTTCCCTAACTCCACCTCCTGACCTCATCACCCAGCCTACCCACTGGACTCCACTCTGAGATTCCATTCCCAGTGTTTTCAGACTGGTTCTTCTCACACAGCAAGTCCTGCTGCATGGATGTAATTTCTTTTGCATCCCCCTGAAGAGATGAGTTAGAATTTCTTCAGAAACTGTTTGAGCCGCTGAAGTGGCTCCCTTGAGGCTGGCTGTTGGTCTTCCCGGTACTGAGAGGTCCAGGACATCTCGGTGTTTCAAGGGAAGTCCTGTGGGCAGTATGGGCACCTAGCTCAGCTTTGCCTTGCAGAGGCCTGGCTGTGGGTGCTGAGTTCTGGGGAGTGCTTGGGTTTGTCCACCTGCAGGCCTCCCTGGAAGGACCAGACTTCCCTGGAGGGAGCAAGGCTTCCCTGAAGCTGTCCAGTGCCACTTGGGGCCCCATCCAGGTGGCTAATGTCTGCCCAACGTCTGCAGCTGGACAGAGCATGACTGGAGCTCTGCCATCTCCCCAGACCCTGAACTCCACCAAGAGAAGGCTCTTGGTTTCCAGGCTCAGGTCTGCGGCGGGGTGCCCAGGGGGTAGGAGGGTCTCCTGATAGCCTGGCTCTGAATGGCCTTCCGAGGGTGGAGCATGTGAGTGTCTGCTGCAGCAGCAGGTCCGAACCCCACGGGGAGCACCTGGAACAGCCCCCTGAGAGAAGCCCAGGGGAGCAGGTCCTGTACCACGGCCCATCGGCCTGGGCAGTCCCCGACATCTGTGCTCAGGGCTTCGACCATAGCTAAGGAGGCCTTAACAGTGAGGCCAGGTGGTGGTCAAGGGCTCTGCCGACCCTGGACGACCTTGGCCCTGGTCTGTCCCCCTGCAGGCACACTCTATGGGCCGGAGCCGCCTCCCTGCCCCTGCAGGACCGCTACTTGCCCCCCAACGCCGATGGCCACAAGGTGGCGTTCGGAGCACGGGAGCTGACCGGTGACTAGGGGCAGGGTCCTGGAGGCCTGTGGGAGCCCCCCCGCCCCCCACTGCGGGCCCCTGGCCACGTGTTCCCGCGCCAACAGCGCAGTGCACTGCCTCCGCCAGGCCAGCATCTTTGTCATCGTTCATGAAACTGAGGCGCTGACCACCCACCTCATTACTTGCAAGCACGTGCCCTGGGCTTCCCCAGGGGACTCCTCTGGGCACTTGGGCCACTTCCCAGCCTCCTAACCCCCCCACCTCGGCCCAGTCCCTGGCTGCCGGCTCCCTGGGCTCCCGCTGCGCGCAGCCTTACCCCCCCTCGGCTGCCTGAGTTGCCCCTGGGGGCGCCCCTGCCGCTGGCTGCGGGCCGTGGACAGGCGGGTGCGGACCTGGAGGACCAGGGCTGTGTCCGCGCTCGGGGCCGGTAGCCGCCGGAGCCGGCCCGGCCACCAGGGGTCAGCAGAGCCCGGGAGGAGGGTGGGCCAGCTCGACCCCGCCCGCCTCGGCCGGACCCAGACCGAGCGCGACTCTGTTGTTCGCATAAACGTCTACGTGAAACCAGGCGGCGGGGCCTACGGGACCTCTGGGTCCGACCTCTGCTTAGGAGGTGGGGGGCCTCGGCGTGGCTAGGGGCGAGGGCCGGCGGGCAGAGTCCGTGGCTCCTTTGGGGCAGCCTTGAGCCGCGGGCCGAGGCCGGACCCAGCGCGCACCCCTGCGACCCCACGTCGCCTTAGTGACACGCACGCTACCCAACAACGTCTCCTTGCCGACCCGCCCGCCCTGGACGCGCGGGGAGGGCCGCGCCTGGCGACAGCGGCGCGCGCTAGTCGGGCCCTGCGGGCCGAGC